GCTAGTACCCGAATTTGCAGAATAAATTAAATAAATTACAATTGTTTGAGATAAAATTATTATTGTATGAATTTAATATATTTTATTTATCTTGTTATTATATTGATATATTGTAATATAATATAATATAATACAGTATAAAATATATCGGAACCTACACGATTGACTAATGCATTATAACAAATATAAAATCATCGTGTAATATTTGTACCTTTTTCATGATTCATAGTCAATATTTTAATCTTTTGAACGTATAATAATAGATAAATATTTATTTAGATATGAAAAAATTTTAAACAAAGAAATAAAATTCTGTAACCTATGAAAAGATTTTCTTGCGATGATCGACACTATTCATGTTTTTTTCTTGTTTATCTTGCGAAACACGAATGGCCAAAATCCATTCTTTTGATGATGGAATAACATATAAACTTTTTTGCACTTATTGACCAATCATCAATCTATCTAATAAACATATGTCAGCATGTACAAAAAGGATTATGTATACAGTTTTATAATGTAATTTATGAATAAAAAAAGTTTTTTTTCTAAACATATATAACGTCTGTTACATTTCGATGGAATGATGATACCTTCTTTGTTTCTTTTGCATTTGGTATCATGCCAAATAAGAAACAAATTGGTTCAATACGCGCACCAATATTCTCCTAAATTCTACTTTTTTGGTTGTTTCAATAAAAATTCCTAATCAAGTTGAATTGCGATTAATTTGAAATAAAATTTTTTGTATTTTATGTTTGATCTACCTTTTGATATGTATACCTTACACATATAATGCGAAAAAATAATATTTTAAAACTTGGTATATTTACATTATTTATATTATTTGTGCTCCGAAAATAGCAACATACTATAGTATTATTTCTTGTGTTAGAGTCGGCTAAACTTTAATATAATGACGTCATCCGAGTTGCATTAGTCATGTGTGTAAAAATGTGTATGAATGCTGAGATAGATTACATGGATTATCAGATTACAAAAAAAGTCGACAAAATCTTAAGGTGGCGTCGTGTTCACCCAATCAAAAACGTGATCTCAATTATAAAATCTCGGTAATCCTGTAATCATGCGTAGATCACGTCCATTTCAGAATCGATCATTTTAAAGGATTTCTCAAAGAGTCTCAGAAGGAGCTCACTAATTGTAATACAAACAACATTAAACGCTTTACAAATATATATCGGTATTAGAACAGTAACCAAGTAACGACCAAATACTTCATGTGCAGAAATCCATACGTCGAAATTATTTAATCAGTTGAATTCAAATTACGATTTGTTTTTGATGCATATGACTGAACTTCTAAGAAGCTAATTGTTTAGGAACTTATTTTAATGTAATAATATAATGCAAGTTACTTAATAGTTTTTTATTTGTTATTCAAGTGTACAATTTTAATTTACCTTATTTTTAAAATATGCGTTTTACTTTAAAAAAGATAACCAACTGTTCCACACTATAATTGATACTGTAGCAATTTCTCGAATAAATTGTAATCTATCATGCTACATAAAAGATAGTACACATAATAGTCAAAGTCTTCTCTTATTGCCCCCTAAATTAAAAATATATAGAATAAATAAATAATGTGCTATTCCGATTCAAGTTTAACACCTATTTATTGTTCGACACGTATTTATTTTTCTAGTGCACATATAGTACATACATACAACAGTACATCAGTTATTTTAAGAAGAATAATGATGCATAAGATAAAAAAATTATTTTTACCTTATTATTTCCCTTGAGTTTTCGTTGACACGGTTTTTTTTTTTTCTTAAAAAGCTCGCATATTTCGTGTCGATGATATTACAAAAAAATTTAACAATCGATATTTCTTAAAATATCCCGCCAACTTGCTAACAAAATGTTATCCTTTAAAGAATCATGCAGTCCAGCTTTTAACAAAGCAACATTTAAACTTCCTTTTCCACCTGACTTCAACGTTGTGGCTGACATTGTTAATAAGCGAAAGTCTTCACAAGTTAATTTAAAAGCTCCAAATGCATTCTTAATATATCGCAAAGTTTTCCTAGACTACCTTTGCACTACTAATCACAATCTTAAAATGACTGATGTCTCAAAATTAGTCGGTATTTATTGGAAAAATGAACCGGAATCTGTTAAATCATTTTACAAAAAGGTTTCTCAACAAGTTGAGTGTGAGTTGAACGAAAAAAGAAAAGCGAATGTATCATTTTGTCGAGTAGTTTGGAAAAACTCAAAATTATCAGGACTTTCTAAGCGAAGACGAAAAGTAGCAAAGAAAAAAAGACAATTTAATTTTAGCGCCAATACTACATCTAAGCATCCTTCGCGTAACATATTTTATGAATTTGTTAATGTCACACCAGAAGTTATTCTTGCTTCCAAACCAGGAATGTTGAAAATTGATAATCTCTCGCTTTCTGCTTCTGCTGGAAATCGCCGCAATTTTATGAACACTATGTCAAAAGATAAATCACATATAATTAAACATAACGATAATCATAATGTATACTCACGTGATAGCGAAATTCACAAAGTTGACACGAATCCTGTATCGGTCGACACGGAAGAAAATATTCCTTTACTAAATAACAACATTCCAGAGTATTCTCTTCATCATGAAGAATTTATGCAACATGCTTTTACCCAAAACTTATATTTTTCTCAGAATATTCTAAACTTTGATTATGACACAAATTATGATATATTGGACTATTATTTGCAAGATTTTTCGGAATAGAATGCATCATTCACGGATTTTACTAAATTTGATCTATTTATTATTATTATAATTTTTTTTTTTAACATTATGAAATATAATATTTGTTTAATGAACCTTTTTTTTTTTCTCACCCGTTTATATGTGTAAATATTTTTATTCGCATATAAAACGATCGAGTTTAAGCCATACTATGTAAAAATAATTTTTACTTCATTATATGAAAACCTTTATTATTTATGAGAAGTAGAAATAGTAATCTATTCTACGCCATATTACTCAAAGCATCATTTATACAGGGCCCTACTTTGTGAATAAATAGATGTCGGATTTTTTTTTTTGTCTTAATATGATACCTTTTTTTTTTTTTTTTTTTTTAGGTTTCTTTACAATTTTAAAATTGTTCGTAAAGCTATTAATATATTTTAAATTTTATGCATGATAAATCTAAAAAATGTCATTCGATTTGTTCATTAACAGTTTTAAAGAACAGTTAGAATTTAATCTCTGACGTTACTGCATGATACAAATTTATCGGCATACTTAATCAGGAAAATCTATTGAGGATGCATATATTTCGACGGAAGAGTTCTTAATTGTGATTCAAAGAAACATTATACAAGTAAGTTCGAGATAATAGTGTTATATATAATTGGTAATATAGAAAGATTAAATGATGATTAGAAGAGTAACATAATATCATTAGTGTTAGCACAAAAGCATAATGTGCTATTAATGATTGGCTAAAATTCATTTTAGAGATATTTGGTACTCCCTACATATGTCACCCCTCTTAAGTATGCTGAAAGATTTCCAAATTGTATGATGATTACTGCATGCATATGTATTTTACGGGGTTTTTTTATCGAATATTAACTTAAAGGGTAATTAAGCGGAGAAAATAATTAACTTATGCTAAAAAATATTAAGCAAATTTAAGATATGTAATACATAACGTAAGGGGTTGTCGCGACAATTATAAACAAGCTGTGACAAAATTCGTACGTGCGTTACGTTATAGGTGTTTATTATAATTCCTTGTAAAGATGTTTCCTCGGCAAAAAAAAATAAAAAAAAAATACAAAAATATTCTTCGTAGTGATGGTTTTTTTTTTTTCAATCTTCGTATTACAATTAGATATGCAATAGATAATTGTTACCAATGACGTTTCAATGATATTTCTAGCTGTGTTTCACGATAACATGTTACCGCGTAGGGTTCTGCCTTACTTCACTGACTATCATTTCATTTAGCCGACATCACCCCAATGGTAGGTTACTAAAAATATATACGCGCAACTAATAAAACACTAACCCTAACCTTATATTATGTCGGCTAAATGAACTGTTGGTGAGATGGAGTGAGTAGTACCTGCGCGTAGACACTATGGATATGTCATAGTGACTTCATCACAAATGTCACATGTTAAGTTAGGTTACCTGCCTCTATGGTTAATAAAATGTTCTGATTGGCCAAAACAATAGATCGTGTATAATCATTTTGGTGGACCTAACAACTATCTTTTTTTTTCATAGAGCTCTTGCTGAAATTAAAATCCACATTTGCGCGATAAATTTTTGGCAAAATCGCTAGAAGGATCACCTAGTGTTGTCAGTCGAAATATGATTGCTACAAAGCGAAATCCTGATTCTCGAAATTTCACTTTCAGAAACAGACTCATCAAATTCTTATGAACCTTTTTCTAAAAATGAAATTTCAGAAAATTAATAATTCCAGGCTTTGCTTTGCAACACTCATATGTCATTTTAATCAAATATATAGACAACTTGGTATCGAAATATATTTAGCCATAGTATTATGTTTGTCAATATGTCGAAACCTTAGATTTTAAATATTTAACTAAATTAAGATTATGTAACTTTATATATAAATGCTTTTATAAAATCTTTTTATTTTAAAACTTTAAAGTCAAAATTTAAATTTTATATTAAGAATTAGAGTTTAGATTAAGAATTAGACTTTAGATTAGAGTTAGAATTCAAATAAAATTAAAGGTTAGATATTTTTAAAATGCTGAACATTTTCACTTAGTACTTTAAACACTAATTGCTAAAGCTATTTTATAAAATAGCATATCTAGTAAAATTATTTTTTTTTTTTTGTGAGTCCTTGATTTTTATAGAATTTATTATCTAATTTTTACTATATTGTTAAAAATCTTGTGTTATCTTTTTATTTAAAATCTTGAATAGGCTTTATTTTTTTAGTAGTATTACAGTTAGTGCTCAGCAAAATCTTTGACACTCAAATACATGTAATGACCTGACTTTTAAATCAATACAGCACACAGTATTACTGTATTACGCATTATCGTATTGCTGTATTGATTTAAAAGTCAGATCGTCACAGTGCCAAACAAAAGTTTGATTTTGCCGAGCGCTATTCTAAATATTAATAAATATTCCTTATATTATCTAGATTAATGTAAGTAAAAAATATTAAAGAAAATTACTACGTTTAACCGGGGGGAAATTACCTCCCTTAGTATTTTTAGGTTAGGGTGCATCTTTGAGATATATAGGAATTTTTTTTTTTTTTTAAGTGAGGTCATTTCCTCAGTTCCTTTATTATTTATTATGCAGATTTTTACAAGGTAAGTTTACATAATTTTTGGGGGGAAGTGGGGATGGAGCTACTTTACTCTAGACCTTAATCTTAGCTAAGTAGGTCGAAAGACCTCTAGACTATGAGTCAAGAATATGTTGTAGTGAGATGTTAAAATTGATATAGGAGTTCTGCCAGGGGTAGAATTTGCTATCTATATTGGGGTTGGGATAGGATTAGAAATTGTTATATGTGGATTATAAGAGGTAGTGGTATTGGTATTATTCTGATTGTTATTGTTGTTTACTGCGATTCTACTTGGTATCTATATTGATTTATGTATATCGAGTATAATTGTATGATGTAATTCCAAGGCTAAGTGGATGGTGTTGTTGTGACTACATGTAGGGTTAAGGTATCTTCTGTGATTATACCAATTGGTGTTTGGTTAGTTATGTGCATATAGATAAATACTTGAATGAAGTTGTTGATGTTAGTTGGTAGAAAACTATATTTTTAAAGGAAGCTATTAGTGATATCAATAAGAAGTTGGGTTAGTATAGTGAGGTTAGTTAAACATGTAAACCAATATGTGTTATTTTTGATTTCTATACTGCAATGTTTACATAAAGGTGAGGTGTGTTTTTGGGGTAGTATTTGAAAAAATTAAGTTGATTAGGTAGTTCATTTATCAATAGTTTAAATTTAAAATTTTTTATTTTAGATATTTTAGAGTTAGTGAAATGTTGGAGTGGTTTATTATTGTATTAAAAATATAGAAAAGTTAGGTTTTATAAGATCTTGTTTGTGGCTGGGATCCATGCTTGAATTCTCTTTTGCAAATACTATGAGTTGATGTTAGTTGTGATATAAAGTTTTTTTATGAGTAACTTTAGATCATCAGATGCTAATTGATGGTTAAAGTGGATGAGGTAGGTATTGTTTATTACTTCAGAGAGGTCAATTTCAGCTTGAATAATATTGTCATGAGATTGTATTAAGTTATTTTGTTATGAGTATGTGGCTTGGATAGTAATGTATTTTGCATGTATTGCAGCATGAATAGCAATTAGAAGGCTGGTATTTGTATTTTTTCAGATAGTATATACTATTTCTAGTAAGGTATTGGTAAGCATTGGCAATAGTTTAACTATAGTAGCAGAGTTTGTAGTAAAATTTATTCTTGTATAGCTAGGGGCAATTATAAGAAGTAAGTATAGAGCTATAATTGCAATTTTTGCTAGCTTTGACTCTATATCCTTTTAATTGCTATAATAATAAGTTATTTAGAGCTATTTTTAAAATATTGTTAATTGTATATTTAAATTTGTCTTTCTTGTCTAGTATAGCTTTGTTGAATTTTTTTAAAATTATTCTATATATTTTCTACTATCTAACTATATAGATTAAATATTATCTAGAAGATATTTTTGGTTGCTTGTATTTATTGCTACCTTGATATATGCTACTATTTTTTTCTATATAGAAAGCTAGTCAGTATAATTGTTTTGCTGTAGTAGTCTAGATATAGTTTGATTTCTTTTCTATTTATATTTTTTAAAAAATTCTAGATTGTGAAAAAGTAGTAGGTATTATCTATATATTGTCTTGTTAGAATCTTTTTTTTTGGCACACATACTAAGTTGTAAATATCTTCATAGCTTTTGTACTTTTTGCTATTATATTTTCTGCTCGAAAAACTTTTTTTGCTTTGATAGCTACTTGATGATTAACTCTTAAAGCTATAGTTCAAGAAGCTTGCTTTATTTTATACAAGTGTGTCTTTTATTTATTCAAGATTCTTACTTGTTGTATTGGTGATTTCTTCATAATCTGTAAAGCTTCTCTTATATGAGTTTTCTTGATACTCTGCTAAAGTGCTGTTAATATTTTTATTTTCTATTGTTTTTGCTATATTTGTTTTTATATAGCTAAAATCTATCATAATTGAACCAGTTTCTTTCTTGACACTTATATTTAAACATAATGTAATATCTGTATTATATTCAAAAAGTTTTTTTTTTTTTTTAGTTCTTGGTTATTCTCTAACAATCTTACTTTCAGCCTATTTGTACTTTTTAATTATACTATATACAACTTTTATTAAGTAGATATCACTTGTACTAAGATATTTTGCAGCATGTACGTTATTTCATATTGTTATATATTGTTTATTATATAAAAGTCTTTTTTTTTTCAGTTTGTTTAAAAAAATCTCAAAATTCTTTAATTCTGCTATGCTATACAAATTTTTATTCTACTTTTAAGTTCTAGTTTGGTTATGTATTCTTTGTACAAATTATATGTTTTTGATATAACTTGCTGTTTGGATGCACTTGTATAACTATTTGGTTTGTATTTTATAAAAGATCTGCAATACCAGATAATACTAATTCTCTACTTTGTTATCATATTAAGTATTTTGTTTTGAAGTACTTTGTTTTTTTATCTTGTT